CCTCCCCCCCCCCCCCGAGTAATTTGAAGTAATTTGAATTTGCTTCCTGGGGCTCTTAGTCGAGACAGCATGTCCACATTAAGGGAGGCTGCCTTGGACTAAGTTTGAGGCTTCGCTATAGTGTGGACGCGCCATTTCAATGTTGTTATTTCAGGAGTTACTATTTTAAATGTAGATATTTCAAAATAATTTCCTACTATAGACATGCCCTTAGAGACCTCTTCACACCTTTCTGTCTGTGATATGGTAGGGGAAGGGCATCACTATCATCTCCTGGCCCCTTATGGACACCCTTCTCCCCGGACCCTCGCTATACAGGTCTGCCCGGTGGGTGAGCATCTCACCCTGATCTCGGGCCGTTTCTGCCTTGGTGTGCTGCTTTGAAAGGTTGGTTGCTCCAGGGCCACCCTGTCAGACTGCAAATGCATGCACTGGGCTGGTTCCCTGCCCTACTCTAGTCTAGGCATCCAGCTGCCCAAAAAGCTAGAAAAAAACCCAATGTTTGGTTTGGTCTCTGGCTTTGCAGGTGGAGCCCTCTGCCTGCCTTTCACCCCTCAGACAGCAACACAAAACAATCATAAATCTTCCAAACAGGCAAAAGGAGGGGGAGGGAAGTATCCCTTGGTTCACAATTGTTCCACCAGCGCTGTCACCAAATCAAGCATGTTCCCCACTCTGGCACTTCGAGTGCAGAAGGTGGAGGGTCCGCAAGAGACTTTAAAAAGACTCTGCCTCTAGAGGCATCTTCTTAAAAACTCCCCAAGGTCGCAGATTCCCTGACTGTGGGTGGGATGCTGCCACCACCCAAGTGCAAACCCCTTTTCCAAACCTAGGAAGACTCAGTTGGAAATTTCTTCCCACAGGATCCCCCAAACTTTTACCCTCCCTCAGGAGAGTAATTTCAAATAACTGATGTCTCAGGCATGTGCATCCTGCCTTGTAGGACACAGGAATCAGATCATAGTCTTCAAACAGGTGATTTCATTAACAAACCAAAGATGTATTTGGTAAAGCAGACTTTGTGGCTAGGTGTTAAAAGCAACTGAGAAAACAGATCAGAGTACAGACAATTGCTTTTAAACATCAGTTACAGAGTATGGGGACGGAGGGGAAGAGAAAGAAATGGGTTCAACACAGAGTTCACAAAACAAAACCCAAACCATGATCCCATCTCACTACACATTCCCAATCTACTCACGTTTCTGAGTAGATGGATGTAGGAGACAGATTTGTTGAGAGTCTCTGGGTTAGGTATAAAGGGGTAAAAAAACAAGGGTAATGTCATGTGTGGCAGGGTCAGTCCCACTCTTGAGCCCTTGACCCCTGTTCAGCCCACTGTCCCACAGTCTAGGAGTCACAGCATATGGCTCACTCACCTTGGTTTGAGATTTGTTGTCTCCCTGTCGTCTTTAACAAGGCTGACTCTGTTCTCTTAGCTCCTCCGATGTCTTTCTCTCTCCAAACTCCTTCTCAGCTCTACTTCCCTCACTCACAGGCAGCCCCAATTACTTTCACCTCTGCCTTAATTGATTTTGCAGCAGCCCTCCTCTGTTGCCCCTAATAAGCCAGGATTGCTGACTCTCTCTGCCTCTTTCCCCTTCATAGAATCATAGAATACTAGGACTGGAAGGGACCTCGAGAGGTCTTCGAGTCCAGCCCCCCGCCCTCAAGGCAGGACCAAGCTCCGTCTACACCATCCCTGACAGATGTCTATCTAACCTGTTCTTAAATATCTCCAGAGAGGGAGATTCCACCACCTCCCTTGGCAATTTATTCCAATATTTGACCACCCTGACAGTTAGGAATTTTTTCCTAATGTCCAATCTAAACCTCCCCTGCTGCACTTTAAGCCCATTACTCCATGTCCTGTCCTCAGAAACCAAGAGGAACAAATTTTCACCTTCCTCCTTGTGACACCCTTTTAGATATTTGAAAACCACTATCATGTCCCCCCTTAATCTTCTTTTTTCCAAACTAAACAAGCCCAGTTCATGAAGCCTGGCTTCATAGGCTTCTCTAGACCTTTAATCATTCTTGTCACTCTTCTCTGTACCCTTTCCAATTTCTCCACATCTTTCTTGAAATGTGGCGCCCAGAACTGGACACAGTACTCCAGCTGAGGCCTAACTAGTGCAGAATAGAGCGGCAGAATGACTTCACGAGTTTTGCTTACAACACACCTGTTGATACAACCTAGAATCATATTTGCTTTTTTGGCAACAGCATCACACTGTTGACTCATATTCAACTTGTGGTCCACTATGACCCCTAGATCCCTTTCCGCCATGCTCCTTCCTAGACAGTCGCTTCCCATCTTGTATGTATGGAACTGATTGTTCCTTCCTAAGTGGAGCACTCTGCATTTCTCCTTATTAAACCTCATCCTGTTTACCTCTGACCATTTCTCTAACTTGCTAAGGTCATTTTGAATTATGTCCCTATCCTCCAAAGAAGTTGCAACCCCACCCAGTTTGGTATCATCTGCAAACTTAATAAGAGTACTCTCTATCCCAATATCTACATCATTGATGAAGATATTGAACAGTACGGGTCCCAAAACAGACCCTTGAGGAACTCCACTTGTTATCCCTTTCCAGCAGGATTTAGAACCGTTAACAACAACTCTCTGACTACGGTTATCCAGCCAATTATGCACCCACCTTATCGTGGCCCTATCTAAGTTATATTTGCCTAGTTTATCAATAAGAATATCATGCGAGACCGTATCAAATGCCTTACTAAAGTCTAGGTATATGACATCCACCGCTTCTCCCTTATCCACAAGGCTCGTTATCCTATCAAAGAAAGCTATCAGATTAGTTTGGCATGACTTGTTCTTCACAAACCCATGCTGGCTATTCCCTATCACTTTATTACCTTCCAAGTGTTTGCATATGATTTCCTTAATTACCTGCTCCATTATCTTCCCTGGGACAGACGTTAAACTGACCGGTCTATAATTTCCTGGGTTGTTCTTATTCCCCTTTTTATAGATGGGCACAATATTTGCCCTTTTCCAGTCTTCTGGAATCTCCCCTGTCTGCCATGATTTTTCAAAGATCATAGCTAAAGGCTCAGATACCTCCTCTATCAGCTCCTTGAGTATCCTGGGATGCATTTCATCAGGACCTGGTGACTTGCTGACATCTAACTTTCCTAAGTGATTTTTAACTTGTTCTTTGTGTATCCTATCTTCTAAACTTACCCTCTCTCTGCTTGTATTCACTACGTTAGGCACACCTCCAGACTTCTCGGTGAAGACCGAAACAAAGAAGTCATTGAGCATCTCCGCCATTTCCAAGTTTCCATCAAGCTCTTTCCCCTGCTGTAT